GGGGGGGGTGGATAAAACAAAAAAACTACTTAAGTTTTTAAATCAGCAAAAAGATTTTTAAATCAATACATATAGGCCATTTTTTGGCAAACACATATATAGTTTAAAATAGATTATGTACAACTCATAGATTAAGTATATCAGCGAATCAAGCAGACATATTGATATACGAATCAACGAAGTGTTAGTTTCAGTAATAATAAAGTGCAAGTTAGAGTGCATATTTCACCAAACAGATGCACAAACGTAAGTGGAGTTCACCAGAAGGGTAACTATAGCAACAGTGCATTCAAGCGCTTTCCATTGTGATCAGTTTCAGGCAGTGTGTTGATGAAGCAAAACACATACGGTCATTAAATGGTTATTATTAAGCTTATTAAAGATGTACAAACCACAAATATATGACAATGTTTATAACATATATAAATTATATATTTTGGACCCACTTTATATTGTGTCCTTAACTGCTATGTACTTACATTTAAATTAATCATTTGATAATGCACTTATTGTGTACCTACATGTTTTTACATTGTACTTCTATTTGAAAATACAGTCCTGTAATTAGGCCTACATCTGTAATTTCAGAAGTAAAAAAAGTATTTAAAGACGCCTAATATAAAGTGGGCCCTATATTTTTTAATATACATTTAAGAATAATCGGTAACATCTAAGTAATTGTACTTGTAGCGCTGTGTGAAATAAACTTTGACAGACAGCGTTGTGTACATTTATAAAACCTTTTTCATTTTCATTGCCGTATTGTACGTGAAAGGTTGGATGATTCACACTCCGGGTTCTCTTTGATCAGATTTTTAAAAGCTCTGTATATATTTACTATCAATTCTTTAAGCATTAAGGGAAACACATTCATAAATGTCTTTTCGTTCATCTTCAGCAGCTCCAGGGCAGTTATTATGAAGACATGACAAGCCTACAGAGACTACAGGACTGTGCGGATAGCAGTAAAGGAGAAGACTCAATGACAGAATGTGGCAAACTGATGGAAAAATATAAAACTGTCATAGCTAAGGTATATATTTATTTCAAACATTCAAAAGTCACGCTTAGAATATTTTGGCACTCCTAGATGTGAATCGTACAACATAAACATTATATGAAAATATTGTGTACAACTCATTAATATACTTTTAATTCTTCCCAAAGGTTTCACAAGCAAATGAAAAATGTAAGTACTGCTGACCTGGCAACCTTATTAACAGTATCTAAAACATACAGCACAATGGACTGTTGAATACCGACTGTTTGATTTTTTCAAGTTAGCATGTTGGTGCCTGTATAAAACTAAATACCTAGCATATTTTCTTCTTACTAAATAAAAATATTTGCTTTGAATATTTAGCAAGCAATTTGGTGTCCTATTAATTATGATGCACTATTTTTGTAACCTTCCTGTAACCCTTTAATTTTTATTGTATCCTTACTGTTGTTGTGTAATTATCCTGCAGTGTCTAAGTTAACTGGAGGGCCACACTTCATTGGACCAGCTGCACACATGACTGCTCTGAGCGAACATAAAGGTGAATGTAATAGAATGTATTAGAATCATTCATTTAGAATTAAATCCTATCATGTAATTAAAGCTAAAGCCCAGCCATTGTATGGTGATAATGAGGTTCTCCTTGTTTTAATGCCACCAGATAAGAATTCGGACTTCTTGAAGTCAAACAGTCTTCTTTGGGACGAAGAGCATTCGCTGCTACAGGACGTACGGCTTAGCACCAAACGGGACAAGTTGACCATTCGATATCCCGGAATCTATTTCATCTATTCCCAAGTCACCTTCTCCAAACATTCTACTTCTTTTGGATTAAAGCAATCCATAAGGAGCATAGAACCCAAGAAACAGGAAGTCAAGGAGCTACTCAAGTCTTTTTGCAGTTTGGACCCAAACGCATCAAATTTGTGTACAGCCTCTCTGGCAGGGGTATTCCGCCTAGAGAAAGACCAACAGCTCTATATTACAGTTGCAAACACATCCTTGGTGAACCGGGACTCCTGCAGCTTTGGATTATTCCAATTGCGGTAAAGAACACTCTGGAACTGAAATGCGGGAGAAGGGGTAGATGGATGATACGAGATGGTCAGGGATTGACTGGATCAAGGCACTATAATTAAACGGATAATTATGCAGTCACGTGCATGGCATCTGAAAAAGATCAGCTCCAGGGAAAGTCACTGCACCACATTTTCTCCTTGACGTCAAACCACAATTCAAGTTCAGGACAAACGAGGAAGACACTGAAATCTTCTGAACGGGGGAACATCCTTTCAATTATATAGTTCATTGCAAATAGAACCTGATAAGAATACCACGAATGTTTTCAAACCGCTAGTGTTTGTATGAAATTATTTATTTACTGTAGTTTTCTTGGTTATGGTTTGCTCTTCTTTTTATAATAACAATAATAATAAACTATTGACCTAATAAAAATATATTTATTTTAGAATAACAATTATAATTGATGGTTGATTCTTATTTAAAGTACTTATATATATATATATATATATATATATATATATACACACACACACACATTCATACAAACATATATAAACACACCAATATTAATATACATTATGTGGGTTATATATTAATATATATAAGTAACTTTGAATAAGCGTTTATTTCCCCACTATTACACTATTCCCCTAGTCCTCCATTAAGTATTTTTAATATTATTACCAATGTTTCTAATTGGCGATGAGTTGTGCAAATGTTTCCTAATATAGTAGATTGAGGTTGTGAGAAGCTCTATTCTTAAAGTTTGGAAACTACGGTGTAGGAAGAGGTCGAAGAGAAAGACGCGTAAGCCTATCAGTTCTGTTTTTAACTTCAATTTTCTAACACGACCCTGAACGGACTACTGCTGTGCCTATTTTACAGCATTCCATCCTCCTCCATGGAAACAGTGAGTTTTAGGTGACAAACGCGTGCTCGTTTGAGCCACGCGGATGCCTCTGCTTACAGGAAGTTGTCAGCCTACTACACTCACTCTAGCCTGTACATTTACTCCATTCACATATATATATATATATATATGTATACAAAAAACACCAGATCAAAAATACTTCACACATACTACCTTCGTATTTCACAAGGTGGAATTTCCTTGTATGTGTAACTATGATCAAAATAAAATCAAACGTATAACTTATTAACATGATGTTATTTTATTAAAACAATTTATTCCTTATTGGAATGAGGACAAAATAAAAACAAGCACTAGGGAAAAAACAACAAAAATTATATATATATATATACACACACAGTAAATATATACAGTGGGCACGGAAAGTATTCAGACCCCCTTAAATTTTTCACTCTTTGTTATATTGCAGCCATTTGCTAAAATCATTTAAGTTAAT